AAGAAAAAGAAAGTGACAGTCTTGAGCTCAAGGCATCCCATATATTTCCAAAATAATCTGACAAATCCTTAAAGGAAAACTCTAATTTCATAAGCCTTTCCTGAACATCCAGTTGGCAGCTACAAGTAAATCTTGCCTCTTTAAATTACCAAACTATTTAGATAAGTATCAACTTTTGGAATTAACCACTTTCAAAATTTTATTACAGTTAATTATATAAAAATAACTTCCCTACGGTTTCTTTCTTCCTAGCACTCTAGCTCAAGATTGTGCTGGCATCCCACATAGGCCCCAGTTCCAATCCTGGCTGCTCCACTTCCGATCCAGTTCTCTGCTACGGCCTGGGAAAGCAGTAGAAGATGGCCTAAATGCTTGGGCCCTCGCACCCACACGGGACCCAGAAGAGGCTCCTGACTCCTGGCTTTGGATCGGCCCAGCTCTGGCCACTGCAGCAATTTGGGGAGTGAACCAGTGGATGGAAGATCCTTCTCTCTCTCTCTCTCTAGCTCTGTCTCTCTGTAACTCTGCCTATCAAATAAATAAATAAATAAATCTTAAAAAAAGATATCAAAATGAAAATTTGGAAATGAAGAATTCAACAGAACAAATAAAAAACACAGTGGAAAACCTTAACAGACCTGATGAGCCAGAAGATTTTTCACTTTATTTTTCTGTATTTTTCACTTTATGTTTCTGTGTGGGAGCAAACTGTTGAAATCTTTACTTAATGTATGCTAAACTGATCTTCTGTATAAAAGAGAATCGAAAATGAATCTTGATGTGAATGGAAGGGGAGAGGGAGTGGGAAAGGGGAGGGTTGCGGGTGGGAGGGACGTTATGGGGGGGAAGCCATTGTAATCCATAAGCCGTACTTTGGAAATTTATATTCATTAAATAAAAGTTTTAAAAAAAGCCACTGTAATCCAAAAGCTGCACTTTGGAAATTTATATTTATTAAATAAAAGTTTTAAAAAAGAAAAAAGAAAAAAAAACAGACCTGATGAGGCAGAAGAAAGAATATCCGAGTTAGAACACAAATCTCAGGAAATTTTACACTCCGAACAAAAAAAAAAGAAGAAATTAGATATTTAAAAAACAGTGTTGGAGATCTATGGGATACTATCCAAATGACCCAATATACGGGTCTTAGGAGTTCCTGAAGGCATGAAAATAGAGAATAGATTAGAAGGTCTTTTTTAGTGAAATAATTATATAAAACCCTCCTAATTTGGAGAAAGAGAGGGACATCCAAGTACAGAAAGCACACAGAACTACTAACAGACATGACCGGAAGCGATCTTCATCACAACACACTGTAAATCAAACTTGCAACAGAAAAACAGAAAGAAAAGATTCTAAAATGTGCAGTACAGAAATAGCAGTTTAATTTTAGAGGATCTCCAATTAAACTCATAGCCAACTTCTCATCACAAACAATTTCGGCTAGGAGAGAATGGAGAGATATATTCTAAGTCTTAAGAGAAAAAAACTGTTAACCTGGAACACTGCACCCTGCAAAGCTCCGACTTATGATGAAGGTGAAATAGAGACCTTCCAAAATAAACAGAAATTGACAGAATTTGTCATCACTAGTCCACCCTTACAAAAGTTGCTTAAGGATGTACTACACACAGAAACACAGAAACATGGTCACCACTATGAAAGAGGGTGAAGGCAGAAAATCTCCAAGTACAAAGGAAATCCAAAATAAGCAACAGGAATATATATGGGAAAATGGCAGGGCCAAGTCATTACTTACCAATAGGCACCTTCAAGTTAAATAGCCTCACTCTCCAATTAAAAGATACAGACTAGCTGAAAGGATTAATAAACAAAACCCATCTATTTGCTGCTTACAAGTATCTTATCTCACCAACAAAAATACACCCAAACAGAAAGTGAACAGCAACAACAAAAAAGCCAGAAGCATCACAATACCAGATTTCAATACATACCACAGGGCAGTTATAATCAAAACAGCCTGATAGTGGTACAAAAACAGATGGATAGACCAATGGAACAGAACAGAAATGGCAGAATTCAATCCATGCAAATACAACAAACTTATCTTTGACAAAGGAGCTAAAATCAATCCTTGGAGAAAGGACAGTCTCTTCAACAAACAGTACTGGGAAAACTTACACCTTACACAAAAATCCACTCAAAATGGATTAAAGACCTAAATTTACTACCCAATACCATCAAATTATTAGAGAACATTGGGGAAACTCTGCAAGACATTGGCATAGGCAAAGACTTCTTGGAAAAGACCCCAGAAGCACAGGCAATCAAAGTTGAAACTGATAAATGGGATTACATCAAGCTGAGAAGCTTCTGCACTGCAAAGGGAACATTCAGCAATGAAGGGGTGACTGACAAAATGGGAGAAATTACTTGCAAATTATGCAACTGATAAAGATTACAAAAATATATAAAGAAATCAAAAAACTCAACACCACCAAACAACCCACCCAATTAAGAAATGGGCAAATGACTTAAACAGGCATTTTTCAAAAGAGGAAATTCAAATGGCCAACAGACACATGAAAAAATGCTCAGGATCACTAGCCAACAGGGAAACGCAAATCAAAATCACAATGAGGTTTCACCTCACCCCCATCAAAATGGCTTTCATACAGAAAGTCAACAAACAACAAATGTTGGTGAGGGTGTGGGGAGAAAGGTACCTTAATCCACTCTTGGTGGGAATGTAAACTGGTACAGCCACTGTGGAAGACAGTATGGAGATAGCTTAGAAATCTGAATATAGAACTACCATATGACCAAGCCATCCCACTGCTGGGAATTTACCCAAGGGAAACAGAATCAGCATTTGAAAGAGTTATCTGTACCCCCATGTTCATTGCAGCTCAATTCACAATAGCTGAGAGATATGGAATCAACCCAATACTTGTCAAGTGAAGACTGGATAAAGAAATTATGGGATATATACACCATGGAATACTACACAGCAGTAAAAGAAAAATGAAAATGTGTCATTTGCAACAAAATGGATGAAAAAAATATCATACTCAGTGAAATAAGCCAGTCCCAAATGAGAAACACCATATGTTGTTCCTGATGTATGAAAACTAACAGAGCACCTAAAAGGTAATCCAGAGAAGTGAAATTGATGCTTTGAGATCCAATGCCTTTGAACAGCTCTTGTTCTCAATTGTTGAAGACAGGTTTTTTTTTTTTTGTTTTTTTTTTTTGGTCATACTATTTGTTGAACTCTTTATTTAGTATATAGTCAATCATATGTGTATAAAGTTAATTGAAAATAGATCTTAGTAAAAAATTAGAATGGGAATAGGAGAAGGAAGAGGAGGAGGGCTGGAAGGGCGGGTACAGTGGGAAGAATTACTGTTCCTAAAGTACTTACAAAATACATGAATTTTGTATTCCTTAAATAAAAGGTTTCTGGGGAAAAAATCAGTTAAACCAGCATGAAACTTAAAACTAGAATTAATTTTCATTAAAAAAAATTTTATATGCCTATCAGTCACGTGAAAGTACAGACTTTCAGAATTACTTAGAAGCTAGAGGACATCTTATTGTAAATACCTTTGTTAAGTTGAAATACAAATGGAAGAATGTTCCAGAAAATGAGTAAATCATTAAAGACACTTTAACAAAAGAGATTCAGCATATACCTCAAAAATCAGACTGAAAATGAAACCAAGTATCACGATAAGTTTGATAAATACTAGGGATGTTTTTCAATTCATTCTATTCTTTTGTGATCTCACTGCCATTTATTTTTCTAAAATATTTATTTCCTATATTTTGTTCTCTTTTAATGCCTGAAGAAAATTGAAAATTCCCAGCAGAACTAATTATATATTCTATAAAGCTATCAAAGTTCTGTCCTGAAAAAAATCTTTGGGAAATTGCTCCATGTGGTATTCCACTGCTTTCAAGAGAAATCACACAAATCTCTACATAAAGAAGCCCTAAAGCTGTCTTATGCATATAAAATGAACAGCAAATCAAAGCTATATATTCTTTTGAATGGCACAGTACTTTGGCATGAGATTAAGAAAATATTACTCACCATGGCATGCAGTAATGTCTGGACTTCTCCAAAATTAAGAATTACTTTCAGAGTATAGGCAGAATATTCAGTGCAATTTTGCTCTTTCTTAAAAACCAATATACGATTTTAAAGGAGCTTATTGCAATTCTTTTTAAAAACCACACTTCATCAGACTACTGACTAAAAAATTTGAGGGCTTTTGTGGGACATTTGATTTAGAATACCTGTTATGCTCCTTTTATTAATACTTAACAACTTCAAAATGTGGTAATACAACTAACACATTAATCTTAGGCAAATTGTTTTGCTTCAAGGCAATAACTTTTCCACTTTCATCAACTACATCTTCAGTTTCACACTTCTATACTGTTGCCAGAGCTGTGGGAATACTTGAAAAACACACAAGAATAAAAGGAGAAAAATACTAATTTAAAAAGAAAGGATAAAGGAAAACCTAATCACAATTCGTTAACTAGCATTTTGGGGTTCTTACACCTCCTTTCTGGTTCCCATGTTTTTCATACACACACAAGACAGGACAGTCAGCCCTCCCTATACATGGTTTCAACACTACTAGATCCAACTGTGTATGAAAAATAGTCAGGAAAAAAAACTGTGTCTCTACTGAACATGTATAATCTTTTTTGCTTTCTAGTACTCCATAAACAATACAGCACACCAATTCAACTATTTACAGAGCATTTACCCTGTAGTAGGTATTAGGATAACCTAAAGATGATTAAAGTACATGAAAAAAAGTCACAAGTTATATACAAATATTATGCCATTTAATGGACTTGAGCATCCATGGATATGTGTGTGGAGGGGGAGGTGTCCAGGAATCAATCCCCCACAGAGAACAAGAGAGAATCGTATTTAGAAAAAAAATATCAATTTAAAACTTTTACAGCTATTATATTTTTTTGAAAGCAAACTTTGATAATAAAAGAAATTTACAAACCTCAGAATGTTCATCTCTCTCATCTATAAGTCTTTTCAGATGCAATGCCATATTTTTCAAGAGTGGTTCTATGTCCTCCTGAGACATATCAGTTACTTCCATCCATTGCAGATCAAATACATTTTCCTGATTGTGAGTTACCTTTAGAAAAGCAACCAAAATAAACAACAACAAGAAGACTAATACTTAAAAATCTATTTTATTTTAGGATAATAGAAGCTCAAATATTATATAACTCATAAAATAAAAATATAAAAGCCAATATGATGTCTAAAGAAGAACTTGAAATCCTTTGGAATTAATGATGAAACTATAAATTATTTTTACCTTGATATAATCTTTAAGTAAATTAATATTCATTTGCTAGTCAACACAACAATTTTAACTCAAGGCAATCCTAAAGAAAAGTAATACTGATATATATCTGACAAATGATTTGAAAGTATTTGACTTTTCTTTAGATAAGGCTTTAAATTTACTGTATCAGAGTCAAAAGCAAAAGGTTCTTAATCTTTTAGAATATAAGTGCATGTAATTGCATTTTTATTCTTATACAGCTAAGTCTTTGTAGATTCTGAAGATAGTATTGTCACAGAAGCTTAAAAAGACCCTCAATATAAACACACTTCTTACTTTCCAAATGTGGTATTTTGCTTTAACTTTCAGAACAAACAGCAAAAATAACACTTTCAATGACTTAGCAAATTCAGTAATATCACTGAGCACAAAATGAAGTAAAATCACAAAGATATATGAGAGATTACCAAAAAACTCTATCTTATAAAGTACCAATATGCTTACTATGGAAAATAATGTTACTGACAAGAAGTCTGGGCTCTATGAATGTTAACTAAGAGAAAAGATGATATACAGAATACTAAGACACCTACATAGATAATATTTTTAAAACTACTATTTTTCACTTGAGTAAATTTAGAAATTCTTTCCTTTTTCTAATCAATATGTGAAATTTAACATATTGTAACTCTAAAAAGCTTTTATAATACTGTTAGCCCAAATATAGCAAGACACAGAAATAGTTTTAAAAATCAATGTTAATAAATTATATTATCTTTAATTATTTGGCAATCCACAATATGCCCCATATTTAAGCTTCATATGGATGTTACATCATTAATATATTTATAAGTTAAATAATATCTTCAAAGTTATGCCATGCTCATTCATTCAAAAGAAAATACAGGAACGATGTAATACAAAGCTTGCCATCTTACCTCACTATTGTTTTTAATTACAAGCAGTATTCCACTCTTCGCAGCTTTCAGTTACTACACAAATCATTCTATGCTAACAAGCATATACATACCACTTCTCAAATAATACTTTTTCCTTATGTCCTTACAGATACAGGCAACAATACATTTGTAGTTATTAGTTTGCCATGTATAAGATGATCCATTTAAGGAACTATCTCTAGAGAAGGCAATTTGTATAAAAGCAAGGTTTACTTATATTAGATTTTGATTTATTCTTGCTTATCCCATGACTTTTAGTATTTTGGGAGACATACAAATAAACACAAGCCTAATAAAATGACGAGCTTCATAAAAACTACATAAAAATTCTAAACAGGTCCTTACCTCTTGAATATGTGCAGCAACTGCTGCCTTTGTATCAAAATCTAATCCTTGAATTCTTTCAATAAATTCTTCTTTTTTCTGACACTAAAATAAATGAGTAAAAATAATCATTCATACTTTGAGGAAAAAGTCCTTAAAATGTATATAACTAAAATTTCATCAGGCTTGGCTATGTTTTAAATAATACAATGAAGGTTTTGTTTTGCATTTAAATTGTCTCTAATATACTAACCAAAAACAGATCATGATTTAGCAACATTTATTTTAAAAAGGACTGAAAATCCATACTATTTTTATGCTGAAAAGTTCTAAAGTTGGAAAGCATTAACACAACCGATTTGAGGTCAGTACAATATTATTAGGCTAACTTTACAAACAGACAAGTAAAGAATCAAGAACTTGTTTCAAGGAGGGTAAGTTACTTGCCAAAAAACACAGTGAGTCAGTGGAAGAATTCGGAATACAGCCAAAATGCTCAGTTAGACTCTGACTATCACCAAACAACACAGCCTTTCTTCTCAGAAAAAAAAAATTTTTTTAAGTGATTTTTATTGCAAGCTTACAATTCATTCTCACATCTTCATTCTATCAACCTTAATAAATTCACTTTTGTGACCCCGTTCAACATTTATAAAGCAATACTATAAATATTTGATTTGTTTCCAACATAAGATAACAGAGTCACCAGGGACAAAAATTTAATAATGTATTTTTAAGTACACATACAGCTAAACAGAATAAAGGGAACAATTCTTTACTGTATAACTTTTTAAATAGCTTTCTATAAATTAAAAATATTTAAATGCCAACATAATCCTTTTCCTTTCAGTCAGTACTGACTTAACAATTTAACATGCATCTTATTCTCTGCCTCTGTCTACACCTCTTATGCTGCAATCCAACTGTGAATATAACTGTATTCTTGTAGCTACTGAATGAGAAGTGCATACAAAATAGACAGTACTCCCTTGTTTAGCTTAGAAGGATCTTCTAGGCCAATCACTGGACTACCTTACCAGTGAAGACAATATACTAACAACAACAACAAAAAAAAACTGACTCTAATCATTAAGAAATCAATAAGGTTTCGCTTTATATTCTACATATTTATCAAATAGTAGCATTCTATTTCTATTGCCATACAACTCAACTAAACAGATACCCTAGAATGCAGAAAGCTCTACAACCTATAAAAAAGTAAATTATTAGGATGATGTAATACTGTTTAAAACCAAACTACCAGGAATGTACAATCCCTAGTTTTGACTAGAAAGTCAGATTCTGGAGGAAATGAAATGAAAATTGGTGAGTTTAAACACAAGATTTTGTTGGGGCGAGGTTCTGGTAAACATCTGACAGGCCCTGTGAGAACAACTGAAAATTACTTTTACATTGTACATTTGAAGTATATACAAAATAAGTTTTCAGATGTAGTAATCCCAATTTCTAAATTTAATTTTATTACCTTCATAATTGTTAACCTATACATAGTTCTGAGCCAAACAGAATATAAAATGGCAGGGTTGTTACAAAAGGTAATGACTAAACCGGCGCCTGCAGCTCACTTGGCTAATCCTCCGCTTGCGGTGCTGGCACCCCAGGTTCTAGTCCTGGTTGGGGCACCGGATTCTGTCCCGGTTGCCCCTCTTCCAGGCCAGCTCTCTGGATTGCCCGGGAAGGCAGTGGAGGATGGCCCAAGTGCTTGGGCCCTGCACCCGCATGGGAGACCGGGAGGAAGCACCTGGCTCATGGCTTCAGATCGGCCCAGCGCACCAGCCATAGCGGCCATTTCGGAGGTGAACCAAAGGAAGGAAGACCTTTCTCTCTGACTCTCTCTCACTGTCTAACTCTGCCTGTCAAAAAAAAAAAAAAAAAAAAAAAAAAAAAGGTAATGACTAGGGCTGGTGCTGTGGCACAATGGGTTAAAGCCCTGGCCTGAAGCGCAGGCATCCCGTAAGGGCGCCGGTTCGAGACCTGGCTGCTCTACTTCTGATTCAGCTCTCTGCTATGGCCTGGGAAAGCAGTACAAGAAGGCCCAAGTCCTTGGGCCCCTGCACCACCATGGGAGACCCAGAAGAAGCTCCTGGCTCCTGGCTTAGGGTTGGCGCAGCTCTAGCCATTGCAGCCAACTGGAGAGTGAACCATTGGATGTAAGACCTCTCTCTGCCTCTCCTTCTCTCTCTAACTCTGACTTTCAAATAAATAAATTAATTAAAAAAAAAAAAAGTAATGACTATGACTCACCAGGGTCCTCTAATATGATGGTCCTATCCATTTCTGCTGTTGGTCTCAAAAGATTCACTTTTTTTTTTTTTTTAACATTCTTATTTATTTGAGAGAAAGAGTTACAGCAAAAAAGAGGGAGAGACAGAGAGAAAGGTCTTCCATCCACTCACTGAGTCCCCAAATGGTTGCAATGGCCAGAGTTAAACCAGTCCAAAGCCAGGAGCCAGGAGCTTCTTCCAGGTCTCCCACGTGGGTGAAAGGGTTCAAGCACTTGGGCCATCTTTCACTGCCTTCCCAGGGCGTAAGCAGAAAGCTGGATCAGAAGAAGAGCAGCCAGGACATGAACCGGCAGCACTGCAGGCACAGGCTTAGCCTACTAAAGCCACAGCACTGGCCTTTCACTTCTCTTTTCTAAGCCCCAGGGTCACTGTTTCTTTATCTCTACTATATTTAGAAGTTCATTTTTTAGCAACGTCTTCATACAAATCAAATGAAGTTCTTTCTTCATTCTTAAAATTAGATAAATTCTATTAAATCTCACAATAATTCAGATTCTAAAGTTTCTGGGATCCAGGAAATATTTTATAAATAGGTTATGCTTTCTTACAGAATACAGAATAAATTTCACAGGATTTAAGTACAGAAGAGAAAGGATGTTAAGTTGGAAAAGAGATTAAGATAAACTTGAAGCTAAATAATCAGGTCAAATGTTCTGTATCAGTGATATCCACTGTGGTAATCATGACTTACACACATCTACTTAGTACTTGAATGCGGTTAGTGCAACTGAAAATTTAATTTTATTTGGTTGTAATTAATTTCACTTAGTCACATGTAGGTAGGGGATACTGCATTTATTTTTTAACAGAAAACTTTTATTTAATAAATATAAATTTCAAAAGTACAACTTTTGGATTATAGAAGTTCTTCCCCCCATAACCACCCTTCCGCTCACAAAGCACCCTTATCTCCTACTCCCTCTCCCATCCCATTCTTTATTACGATTCATTTTTAATTATCTTTATATACAGAAGATCAACTCTATACTGAGTAAAGATTTCAAATTTGCACCCACACAGATATACTAAGTATAAAGTACTGTTTTAAGATTAGTTTTACCGTTAATTCAGAGGTCCTACATGGGGAGCAAGTGCACAGTGACTCCTGTTGTTGATTTAACAACTGATACTCTTATTTATGATGTCAGTAATCACCCGAGGCTCTTGTCACGAGCTGCCAAGGCTATGGAAGCCTCTTGAGTTCACAAACTCCAACCTTATTTAGACAAGGCCATAGTCAAAGTGGAAGTACTTTCAGTGCTCACTCATCTTACAGAGTGGTCACAGGTTTGTGCAAAAAAATTATACTAGAGGAAAAGGCACCCCAAAATAAAGAAATAATAAAACAAGAAACACATTATCATATTTTCTGTAAGAGTAAGATCACCATATCATAGTTCGAAACAAATCATAGCTTTATAAAATAAACCACATACAGGGTTGGTCATTTGGTGCAGCAGTTAAGATACACACATCTGATAATGGAATGTGTGGGTTCCAGTTCTACTCCGGATTTCAGCTTCCTGACCTGGGAGTTGGATGGTGATAGCTCAAGTAGCTGATTCCCTGCCATTCAAGTAGGAGACCTGGACTAAGTTCCTCATTCTTGGCTTCAGTATGACCCAGCCCTGGCTACTGCGGGCATTTGGGAAGTGGCTGGTAGGAGATCTGTCCATCTGAACAGATGGGATATCTATCCCTGTCTCTGCCTTTCAAATAAAAAGTGCAAATAAGTAAAATTTAAATGAGTACATTAAAAATAAGCCACAATTCAAATATGAAAAACTAGAAAAACTAAAAATTCTTCTTTAAACGGTGCGTATTAACCAAAAAAATAAAAAAAAAAAGATAAAAACCAGAAAACAACAAGTGTTGGCAAGGATGTGAAGAAACTGGAACCCTGTGTATCATGGGTGGAAATGTCAAATGGTGCCACCATTATGGGGAAAACAAATACAGCAATTTCTTAAAAAACTAAAATTAGAATTACCATATGTCCTAGAAATTCCATTTCTGAGTAGATCTCCCCAAAATGTGCAAGCAGAAACTTGAACAAACATTTGTACATCCACATACAATAGCAGCATTATTAACAACAGCCAAAATGTCTACCAAGTGTCTATCAACATGGATGAATGGGTGAACAAAATGTGGTATATATGGCTCAGGGGGAAGGGTTGGTATTTGGCCTAAGGTACCTGTTTCCTCTATCAAAGTGCCTCAGGGGTTTTATCTGCATCTCAGACTCCTGATTCAAGCTTCCTGCCAGTGCAAACCTTGGAGAGGCACCAGGTGATGGCTCAAATTAAGTCCATACCACCCATATGAGACTCAGATTAAGTGTCTTAATTAGGTTAATAGCCTAACTATCACCCTATCTAAATACCAATCTCCTTATCTGAGAATAGATACATAATGAGAAAACCAATGTAAGGTATAATAATTGATACAAAATAGGCATAAAATAAACCACAGCTACTAGGAACAGAGCTCAAAATGTTCATGGAAAAATGGAATTAAAAGATAATTTGAGGATAGGTATTTAGCCTAATGGTTAAGACTCTAGGTCCCATTTCTACTGGAGTGCCTGGGTTTGACACTTGAGTACAGCTCCTGACTCCAGCTAGCTTTCTGTTAATATATAATATATACCCTGGGAGGCAGGGCTGCCATGCACATCAAAGATCTGGCTCCCGGCTTTGCTACTGCAGGAATTTGGGAAGTGAAACAGTAAATGGGAGTCCCTCCCACTTCTACTCCTCCCTTTGTCTCTCAAATAAATAAAAATTTTTAAAAAAAGGAAGATAATGTGAACTTCCCATGAAGTTCACAAAAAAAAAAAAAAAGATTTGTGTATTTGGAAGCAGAGTGATGGGGTGGGGTGAAGATATATTTAATCTGCTGGTTAGCTCCCCAAATGTCAGCAACAGCCAAGTTTAGTCTGAAAAGAGGAGGCAGAATCTCCATTCAGGTCACCCATGTTGGTGGCAGAAACCTAAGTACTTAAGCCTCTCTCTGCTGTCTCCCAGGTATATTAACAGGAACCTGGATGAGAAGCACAGATGGGACTTGAGTCCAGGCACTCTGGATACGAGATTGTGGCCATCCTAAGCACGGTAACCTTTGTAACCCCCACCCTATGAATTTCTTGAAGTCCCCTTATATTATTAATACAATTACTGATCAAGGGCAATACAGTAACACAGACTCCTAAAGTATTCTTCATAAATTCTGCCCTTTTATTGTTAATCTGCAGTCTCTACCAAAACATATACACATGCAAACATATATTATAAGAGTGCTTTGGAAGAAGTTTTCCAGGCTATCTTTTAGGAAACCTGAAAAACTTAGGGTCAATAAAAGCCATAGAATAGGAAATATAATAATTAAATATTTAAATGATTTAAAGATTTTAAATGACATGACAATTGATAAACTAAACTTTAAAGTAAGTAACAGAATGTTTTTCTTCAACATAATTTACTTAGGAGGTCATGTAGTTATTTAAAGTTTCCCCAAATAGACTTTGAAGACCAATGGTCCATCCTGAAATGCTTCAGAAACTAGAGCCTGAAAAAATATAAAGAAAATATGACAAAACATTTTGAACTTACCTGAACTGCACAACCTAGTAAAAGTAAAAGTAGCTTTTTAACTTCTTCTGTGCCTTGTTCTAAAATAAAAAACAACTGATAAGTACATTTGCTCTATTTCAATTCTCACACTGTAGAATCACTTCTGGAGATAATATTCACAGTAACTTGACCGAAGGATTAAGTCTACAAGGAAATACAGTAGAAACTTCAAAAAAGCAGTGCTGCACACGTGTATGTAATAGTGTCCTAGCCGAAGATATGGGCAAGGATCTGAATTTCAGAGGGCTTTAGTATAAATAAATAGGCTTCAAGGTTTTGCACAAGAAGATGGCTAACTATGCATTCATTCCTTTTTCATAAATAGTTACACTATATCCGTCCACCAAATTAAGAATCTACCAAATTATGTTGATATAGAGATATGTCATAAAGTCAGCAAAAATTAGAATGATTAGTCTGGCTTCCCTTAGTGTTTTCTTACTAAAACACAAGTATTATGACTCATATACCTATAAATTCAAATGGCTTTCCTGTGTATAAGTTCATAAAGTTCAGAACCCTAAGTGTCTATTTCAGTGAGGCTGATAAAATAAATGTATATAACAAGCTGGATAAAAGTTAATGGTCTATAACAGAACTGGAGAGAACATTGTCCCTGTCCATTAGTGTGCAATTAATCTTTTCTTAAAATTATCAACTGGCAAAAAAAAAAATATTTCTTTGGGCAAGATTTCACCATCATACCAACCTATGCATGGTAAAGTTCAACGTTTCATTTCAGACTTTCTTCCTGTTCTCTGTGCAACAACTTTCTAACCATAATGGGCCACATTAATCATCATTCTCCCACTATACATACATATACTCTCCTTTACCTTAACTTCTGCTATTCCCTCTGCCTATCTTTCTTCCCCTACCTCTATACCCCTGATAAACTGCTTACTAATCAAAACTGTAATCATTGCTCCAACATTTCTACGTAGTCTTCCCTGATTCAACCACCAATATAGTCCCCTAATACTCACAAATTTGCCAACTTTAAGAAAATTAATAGCTATTTTATAAGCCTTAATATTTTGCAAATTCTGTATTTTACATTAATCATTTTAAAATTTCCCAGTAACCTGTATATCTCATTCTCTCCAAACCATGAGAACTTCTAGAAAATAAGCCACATTTTGCTTTGTTTATTCAAAGATTTATTCATTTACTTGAAAGGCAGTTAGAGAAAGATAGATCTTTCATCCACTGATTCACTCCCTAAATGGCTGCAACAGCCTGGCCTAGATTGGGCAAAGGTGAAAACAGGAGCAAGGACTTCATTCAGGTCTCCCATGTGGGTGGCATGGGCCCAAGGACTTGTACCATCTCCCATTCCTTTCTCAGGTGCATTAATAGGGAGCTGGATGGGAAGTGGGGCAGCCAGGACTGCAACCATAGCTTAAATGGGATGCTGGCATCACAGGTAGTATATCGTTCTACTCTATGAGCCACATTTTAGTATTTCTGGTCCCTATATCTCAGGGGGTCCTTATTAAATGTGCATGGAATTGCAAATAGATCCATACTATATGCCAAATTTTTGCTTTCATTTCTTTATCTGTATATCAAAGATTCCAGAATATCTCTAAAAACTGTGTAAACTTCCAAGTCACATAATTGAATTACTCCTAATAGCTAAATTCACTCATAATCCATTTAATCAACAGCTTCCTCATTGAAAATAATGTATTGGGGCTGGTGCTGTGGCGCAGTAGGTTAATCTTCCACCTGCAGTGCCAGCATCCCATATGGGCGCTGGCTGTAGTACCGGCTGCTCCTCTTCCAATTCAGCTCTCTGCTATGGCCTGGGAGAGCAGTAGAAAATGGCGCAAGTCCTTGGGCCCCTGCACCCCCATGGGAGACCGGGAGAAGCACCTGGCTCCTGCCTTCGGATCAGTGCGGTGCGCCAGCCGCAGCACGCCAGTCGTGGCGGCCATTAGAGGGTGAACCAACGGCAAAAAGGAAGACCTTTCTCTCTGTCTCTCTCTCTCTCTCACTAACTCTGCCTGTCAGAAAAAAAAAAAAAAAAAAGGAAGAAAAGAAAAAGAATTTCTCTGTATCTTTCTGCCTTTTCAAATTAAGTGAAAATAAATAAAATGTCTTTCAAAATTATCACAGAAAGTATGAGTTTAGTATTAGGAAAAAAACACTAGACTTAATGTCTGGTCTCACCTTCAACTTACAAATATTCCAAGCCTGTTCTCTCTATATAAAATGGAATATCACCTCCAACTTCTATATGGTTGTGGGAAATTTAGTGAGTTAATATAAATAAGCAAGCTCTTGATAAATATTATAGCATTATACTAAGATAAAACATTTTATATTATGCTAATTTCAATACTTACCAGAAAAGGGATTTTTGCCAATGATTAAGACATTTGGCAATGACATCATGATCAACTGCTGCAAAGTCTCCTGTAAAAACATACATAATAGTAGTTGTTATAGGTAATACATATTCACCAAGCTATAACTTTCAATTTGCACTCTTCTGTAGGTATGCTTTACTGTAATTAAAAAACAGACAAACATGAAAAATGTAGTCCATTACTTTTTTTTTTTTTTTTGACAGGCAGAGTGGACAGTGTGAGAGAGAGAGACAGAGAGAAAGGTCTTCCTTTGCCGTTGGTTCACCCTCCAATGGCCGCCGTGCTACAGCCAGCGCACCGCGCTGATCCGATGGCAGGAGCCAGGTACTTATCCTGGTCTCCCATGGGGTGCAGGGCCATCCTCCACTGCACTCCCAGGCCATAGCAGAGAGCTGGCCTGGAAGAGGGGCAACCAGGACAGAATCCAGTGCCCCGACTGGGACTAGAACCTGGTGTGTCGGCGCCGCAAGGCGGAGGATTAGCCTAGTGAGCCACGGCGCCGGCCGTCCATTACTTCTTAGCCCCACCATCTTCCTCAGCGCTTTTCTACTTCCTGACAATTCAATCTTCCCAAAAAGATGATAGCAAACTTCCATACCCTTTCATCATGTGGTATTACTAATGACCCCACGTGTTAATATAGTTTGACTTTTATACTATGAAGTATGATTATACTTGGATGATACCAAATGGCTAAATTCAAACTAGAACTTCCATTTCTTTTAAAAATGCACTCCAGAGTACAGAAGAATCTAAATGTCTCACAGAGTGTATGCTGGGGCTTACATTTTTATCCATAACTTACCATCTATTTACTTTGGGGAAAGGGTAGGAAGTCAAAAGGACAAAATTTTACAAATATTAAAGGTTATAAAAATTAAAATTAAAAATTTAACTTTTACTCTATTTTTTTAAACCTTTATTAAAAATATGGAACACTTCACGAATTTGCGTGTCATCCTTGCACAGGGGCCATGCTAATCTTCTCTGTATTGTTCCAATTTTAGTATATGTGCTGCCGAAGCGAGCACCTTTTACTCTATTTTTAAAATTTTTTTGACACGCAGAGTTGGACAGTGAGAGAGAGACAGAGAGAGAGAGTTATAGACAGTGAGAGAGAGTTATAGACAGTGAGAGAGAGACAGAGAGAAAGGTCTTCCTTCCGTTGGTTGACTCCCCTAATGGCCATACTAGGGTATAACGGCCATACTACGGCCAGCGCTGTACCAATCTGAAGCCAGGAGCTGGTTGCTTCCTCCTGGTCTCCCATGCGGGTGCAGGGCCCAAGCACTTGGGCCATCCTCCACTGCCTTCCCGGGCCACAGCAGAGTGCCGGACTGGAAAAGGAGCAATCGGGACTAGAACCCGGGGTGCTGGCGCCGCAGGCAGAGGATTAGCCAAATGAGCCACAGTGCCAGCCTACTTTTACTCTATTTTCAAACCTCAAGTTATCTCTGCAAGTCTTGATAGTGAGTAATAAACTAACTAAAAAACTATACAAATTTTTATAAAGTGAACTATTCTACAAACTCATTTAGTTCCCATAGGGGTTCTTCAGAAGATTCAATCCATATTTTTTGTAAAAATTCTTTGTATTTACCTATTTCAATCTTGCAAATAATATTTTAAAAATATACACAACATAAAAGAGACTAAAAACCATTATTGTTACATTTAATCATATAATCCCAGATTTCCCCTATCTCTAAGGATGTTCCTCATTAAGGATTAAATAAATTGAAAAGAATACATACATGAACCAAATATGACTTTATTAAGTAGGAGGAACATATTCATTTACAAGTCAAGGATGATGATATATGGACATGCATATGAACCAATGAAGACACTTTATTCAAGTTATTAGAAACCTATTTTTAAAAAATGCATGGAGAAAGAATTTTAGCAAACAACTGAAAGAGGAGACAGTTTTGAGAAAATAAGGGCAGTCATTGTTTCAACAGACATTTACTGGATGTCTATTATTCACCATACATTGTTCTAGACACTGGAAATAAAACAGTGAACAAAGATCTTTGTTCTTGTGGAATTACACCTTAATAGTAGCTAAAAAAATAAGTGTTTCTGATTAGTGCCAAGGATAAAAAAATAAAGCAAGGAATAAGAAAGAGTACTGGAAGCAGTGGAGATGAGGAAAGGCTTAAAAAACTTTGAAGATATAAAAATATTCAAATATAGAGAATTTCAGCCTTTTCAGAGCCATTGAAGTAAAATTTCACTGAATAGGTAAATATTTTCCTTCGGCATGAAGACAGTCTAGAAAGATTTAGAGAATTAAAATCATTAAAGAGAGGAAAAAGAATTAGGAGATATGATGTACAAATAAAAATAGATGTGCTTTGAAAGGTATTAGAGGTAATTTCATTACTATTGCCTTTAGTTGGCTTTGTATAACTTCTCTAAAAAAATGACATATTAGCGTTAACTATTTTTAGCTTTCACTTATTTGAGAAGTAGACAGAGAGGGAGTTTCCATCCACTTGTTGACTCCCGAAACGTCCATGATAAAATCGGAAGCCAGGCACTCAATCCAATCTCCAACGTGGGCAGCAGGAGCCCAATTACACGAGCCATCATCACTTTCTCCCAAGGACTGCATTAGCTAGAAGCTGTAGTCATGAGCCAGAGGCAAATATCAAACCCAGGCACTTCTAAACGGAAGAAGCTAAGCCAAAGATCTGCTCCCACGTTTTTTAGCTGACCATCTAAATCCCATTTTCTTTTTACTGATATACAAGTTTGTATAAATTAAAGTTCATGTTGCTCTTTAATTATAAGATTCAAGTATATTCAGATATAAAAATATTTAACTAATATTCAAAGATGATTTAAACTGTTTTCCTTCTTCCTGTTATCTGTTAATATTTCCTTCATAGTAAAAAGTTAAACGCAGAATTTCAGATTTCATTTCACTTTCTAGAATCACACATTGAGAAAACAATATTACTAAAATTGCACAAATTTGTTGTACTAAATATTTCACAAAATTATAAAAATACATTGAAAAGACAATCTCTCCTTAGAGACTTCTATAATCTATTTTAAAAATTCATCATACAATTATATTTATCATACTTTCTATATACATTTATTCTTTTATCGGGGTAGAGTGAAAAGAATCGGTGCTACTTTATCATATTTTAGTAGACTACAGAAAAAAAATGGAATGGTATTAAAGCAAAGAACATCTGATGAGAATCAAAAATATGATGAGATATAAAACATTTGTTGTATAACAAACACAAGATCTAGTTTTCTTGGCTACTGAGTTTTATTAATGCTCCAAATGTTGATTATAACACATGTTAAAGAAAAACCTCAGAAGTATCTGCTTTCTGTAGCAACTACATTAATGATATCTGACTTTTTTGTTTTTTTAATAATAACAATACCATAAATTCAAAATATGCCTAATAAATTTAATTTTCCTAAATGTAAAGTGTTCTTTTCTTTTGGGGCCAAAAATGATTCAGATCATTATTTTAATGGTAGTTGAAAAATCTTTTTTTTTTAAAGACTTATTTATTTTAAAGTCAGAGTTACGTAGTGAGAGGAGAAGCAGAGAGAGAGAGAGGTCTTCCATCCACTGATTTACTCCCCAGCTGGCTGCAACAGCCGGAGCTACACCGATCAGAAGCCAGGAGCCAGGAGCTTCTTCCAGGTCTCCCATGTGGGTGCAGGAGCCCCAGGACCTGGACCATTTTCTGCTTTCCCAGGCCATAGCAGAGAGCTAGACTGGAAGTGGAGCAGCCGGGACTCAAACCGGCACTTATATGGGATCCCAGCACTGCAAGCAGCAGTTTTACCCGCTACGCCACAGCACCGGCCCCAAAGAATCACTTTTCTTTTAGTACTTTTTTTAAATTTGTATGGATACTGTTGTCCTTTTTTTTTTGTTAAGATTGTTAAGATTTGCACCCACATGGGAGACTTGAATTGAGTTCCTGGCTCTAGATTTTAGCAGCCCGGCCATGGCTGTTTAGGCTTTTGGAGAGTGAATTAAGCAGATGGGAGCTCTCTCAAATAAATATTAATTAAAATTAGCTCTAGTGGTAAAGGCATTTAGCTTAAATGTTAAAATGCTCACATCCCATAACCATTTACTGCGCTTGATATTCAGCTCTGGCTCCTAACTCCAGTTTACTGTTAATGCAGACCTTAGGATGCAGTAGTGACAGCTCAAGTGGTTGGGCCCCTGCCAATGATGTGGAAAACTGGATTGAGTTCACAGCTCTTAGCCATGGCCAAGCCCAAACCTGGTTGCTATGTTCATTTGGGGAGTAAATTAGCCAAAGGGAGCTCTCTCTCTGCTATCAGAATATATAATTTTTTTTAAAGATTTATTTAGTTATTTAAAAAACAGTTACAGAGAGGAAGGGATGGAGAGAGAGAGAGGTCTTCCATCTGCTGGTTCACTCCCCAAATGGCCCAACAGCCAGAGCTGGGCTGATTTGAATCCAGGAGCCAGGAGCTTCCTCTGGGTGTTCCTAGGAGAATGAAGGGGCCCAAGGACTTGGGCCATCTTCTACTGCTTTCCCAGGCCACAGCAGAGAACTGGATTGGAAGTGGAGCAGCTGGGTCTCGAATCAGCATCTATATGGGATGCCGACACTACAGGAGGCAACTTTACATGCTACACCACAGTGCTGGCCCCAGAATACATTTTTTTAATTTATTTTATTTATTTGAAAGATAGAGTTACAGAAAGAGGTAGCGCCAGAGAGAGAGCGAGAGAGAGAGGTCTTCCATCCACTGGATCACTCCCCAAATGACCATAATGGCCAGAGCTGAGCTGACCTGAAGCCAGGAGACAGGAGCTTTTTCTGGGTCTCCCACACGGGAGCAGGGAACCTAAGGACTTGGGTCATCTTCTACTGCTTTCCCAGGCCACAGCAGAGAGCTGGATAGGAAGTGGAACAGCCAGGACACAAACCAGCACCCATATGGGATGCCGGTGCTGTAGGTCAGGGCTTTAACCCACTGCACCACAGCGCCGGCCCCTAGAATACAATTTTAAAAATTGTT